CACTACTGTTTCCACCACCACCACTGCCACCACCACCGCCACCGCCACCACTACTACCACCTACACTAACATACACACCAGGGCCACTAACAGTTCCATTGCCACTGCCACTACCACTTCCGCTTCCACTACTGCTAGCACTGTTACTGCCACCGCCACCGCCACCGCCACCTCCGCCACCTCCACCTGTGGCATACACACCATGGCCACTGACACTACCGCTACCGTTACCATAGCCACTGCCGTTACCATAACCACTAAAGTCACCATTACCACCGCCGCCAGCACCGCCACCGCCACCACCTCCACCTCCACCTCCAACAGTTATGCCTCCGGGACAGTCCCTGCGTCTACTCCCATTTCCATTTCCATTTGAGTTGCCGTTTTCATTGCCGTTGGTTCCGTTAATGGTAACTCCTCCACCGCCACCTCCACCGCCACCAGCGGAACAAACAGGCTGAGTTTCTAATTTTTGATTCATGAATAACTCGGGCAGTCCTCGGAGTTGCCTTGCGCCAACATGAGCACACACAACTCCAATGAACACCACGACAAGAAACTTAGTGATTTTCATATAGTTTTTCTTTATATTTTGTTGTTTGTTTATTGTGTTGTGCGTTTGTGTTCCCAAAATCCTCGGCTATATAACGTCGCACACATACAAACATTTACATATACTGTAGTTGTATAATAATATTGGTTAATTGTTAAAAAAATAAATGCGAAAGGGAATTGAGCTTGTTTGGTTATCTGAAACTCTTGAAAAACATGTAACCTGGCGTATTGGTAAATTCAACATCTTATGGTGAAAAAGAAAAACTTTCACTATAGTAGTATTCGTACCACTTGAAGAACTATTTTAATTTTTTAATTATTTGATTAATTTTGCATTTTGAAGTTAAAGATATTAAGGCATTTTTTGTTTGTTGAAATGATCGTAGAGTCTGAACCAAATCTCAAGGTGGGATGGTCAAGGCCAAGAAGCTTCGCTTTCATGGATTGCTTGATCCTCTGGTGTCAGTAAAAAGAATTTTAAAAGAAAGTTATATTTCCTCACGACACCGGAGTACTATTACACTGGACAAAAAAACTCTTAAATTGGAAAATAACCAATTAAATATTTGATAGTCGCCGGACAATATAGAAACCTATAGTTTCAAAATATGAAAATGACAAGTTTTACAATTTAGAGGTGTTTATTAGAAGGTGTACCATTAATTTGACATCTTGGTACGTAAGACTATTAGTTGTGGGTACTGAAAACTTAACTATTGCATTAAAAGTACGTATATTATCTTGTAAGAAATGTACACATTTCCTAATAAATACATGTGTCTGTATATATAGTGGCTAAAATGTGGGAGGAAGACAACACAAACTCACCAACAAACATCTTTATTAAAAGAAAGTAAGGAAAAAAAAGAGAGAGATATCGAAGATGAATGCCACAAAGTTTGTTGTGCTTATGATATTTGTTGGAGTTGTGTGTGCCAAAGTTGGCGCGAGGCAGCTCGAAGAAGTGTCCAAAGAGAACAAAATAGGCATACATGTTTCCAAAACTGCCACTACCAACGGTCTTGGAGCTGAGCTTGCCGTTACTGCTTCAACAAGTGCCTACCATTCGGAGAATTCCGGTGCTAATGCTGCTGCTGGTCCTAGAAGCGCCAGTGGATATGGAAGTACCTATGGAAGTACAAGCGGATATGTCACTGCGGATGGTCCCAACGCAAACGCTTATTCTGGCAGTGGCGCTTACGGTCAAACCGGTGCTTATGCTGCAGCGGGTCCTGGTGGTGCCACCGGCAGTGGATACAGTGACGGATATGCCGGCAGCAGTGCAGATGGAAGCATCAGTGACCCTTGAGCGATTGGTGATCATGCACTCAAGTCTCCCGCGTATATACTATACTATAGTATTCTACAAACTCAACAATCTCTTCTGTATTCATAAATAAAACTTGGAGATTGTCACCTTTAATAAATTAATGAAATGCTACTACCCTATATGTGTCATGTCTATTGTACTCCTATGAAATAAAAGCAATAATTACGACCTAGTTACTACTGTTCTGTGATCGCGGTGACTGATGACGAAATAGACAACCTTGTACGATGATGTCTTTTTAAACAAAAAAAAACCTACTTAAAATGCATGCAGCTTGGAAAATGAATGTTCGTGCATGCTCTTTAGACATGCTGCTTGGTGTGCAATGTCTCAAATGAGCTCAGATCTTTGAAGGCTATTCTTAATTATCTAGCATATCTATTTAAGCTTAGGGTTGAAACTCATTTTCCATGTCATGTTTTCATATGGAAGAAAAGAAACTCTAGACTCTTCTCTACTTTCTCTTTGTCGATGGATAGGAGCTCTTCATCAAGAAATTAATTAAGGCCTCATGCCAATTAAGTTGTCAAAATAAAAAGTGGTATAAATCATCTACTTATTTGATCTACTTATTTGAGAATCCATAAACTACTCTGCACAGTTGTAGTATGTAGGGGTCGAACCACAGAGACGAGAGATTCGCTCAATAAACCTATTAGAAATTGAATTACGCTAAGTAAACACAATGGAACTAAAAGCAACAAAAGCAAAACGGTTGTAAACTCGATGGAAAAGAATTAGGTTCAGGGTGTTTCTCAGGAAATCAGAGAATGCAAATTAATCGATAAATCAGGGTTCAGGGTTAAGCACGGTTCTTGAACTCAAATCACGAAATTATAACTAACCAACTTCTGTTGCGAGAATTATCTAAGTCTAAATCTTAGAATTCCAAATCCCTTTGCAAACCCTAAAGATTTAAACCAGCTTTAATGCTCAAGTTTGATATGTTCACAAAGTATCTAAACCAAATTCATTTGCGAATAACTACTTTGCTCACCCTAGGTTCTTTCCAGTTATTCAATTACACTTCCGTGTCAATCAATTAACCTAAGATCTAAGTTCTATGTGGCAGTCCAGAATTAACTTTAAGAACAACCTATGGTGAAGAACTAAATAGATTATGAATCCTAACTAATCAATCAATCTAACATCCAATGAAATCTTTTATAAGAACCCTAAACCTAACAAGCAAACTACTCAGACATGAAGATTGAAGTAATAAACATGAATAGATTGCAGTAAAGAAATAATAGATTAATAAACAGGGGTTCGAAATCTTCTCTCTCCGGAACAGAGTTTCAGACTTGTCTCCCAAAAGCCCTCAAAAACAAAAGTTCTCTCTCAGAAAATCTAAACTAATCGTAAAAAAGGAATAAAAACCCTATATATATATATCTCTCTAAGACACGTTTTGGGCTTCCTTGGAAACGTTTAGGCTCAACTCCTTCTTTAAATAGGAAACAAAATCGCCTTTTCCTTATTTCTCTGACAAGTGTCGAGCGTCACTCTCCATGGTGTCGAGCGTCACTAAAGCACAAAAACCATACTTGACGAATTTGATCCTGATTAAGCTCCAAAGTGCTCCAAAGTCTCCAGTTAAGCTCCAAACGTACCTATGACCTGAAAAGACTCCAAAAGACTCGAAAGACACTAAAAAGACTCTATAAATAAGACCTATACCATGGTTAAAAACCATAAAAACCATGATATATCATTATTACGAATTAATTTTGTATTAGAATATATGTACACTCACGCATAAAAGTTATACATCACAAATCCGTAATGTTTTGGTTTTTTTTTTTTGATTAAAAATGTTTTAGTACACAGAGCAAGCAAAACGAATGATATGCTGCATCGTATTGATTTATAATTTAATGCTCAACTAAATGTAGGAGATAATGCAATCCTCTAGCTTAAGTTAAAAGAATCTGATAAGAAAGTTAAATAAAAAAAGTCTTTTGAAGAAGTAACTAACTAAAATACTTGATAGGTACAGAAATGACAAGACAATTTAGAAACTTATAGCTTCAACTTTCAAAAACTATGATAGTGCTACAAAAATTTATATAGAAATTCATCAGGAGATTGACTTCTGGTAAATATTTGACATCATCGTAAGACTATTAGTTGTAATTTCACTAATGCATTAAAGTATGCATTTCTCTTATAAGAATCAAATGCACGCGTATATATCATAATCGATACATGTGTGTTTATAGAAATTAGAGGCTATATAATATGGGAAGAACAACACACCACAAAACAAAAAAAAAACACCTTAACTGACTACAAAGAACTTAATTTAAGAAAAAGAAAAAGCTGAAAGATGAATGCCACAAAGTTTGTTGTGCTTCTCTTGATTGGAGTTGTGTGTGACAATGTTTGCGCCAGGCAGTTTGAAGGAGTGTCCAAAAAAACCAAATTAAGCATCTCGTATCCCAAAACTATTACCAAAGGCCTTGGAGCTGCGCTTGACGTTGAAATCGCTACTCAAGGCTCCCACTCCAGCTATAGCTGCTCAACCCTATACATTTATACTCTATAAACTCACAATCTCTTATGTAATAGATGTATTAAATTTTATCAAGGTTAGAAAATTATATCAACAGGCAAACTTAATGTAGCTTATAAGCAAAAAAAAATCACATTTAATTATTACTAATTTTTTTTATCAAAAATAAGTTTATATAGATTGTTTGTTCAATTGTTTTTTTCGATTAAATATTTCTTTAACAAACGAAGATTAGTATGTGTTCATATAACTGTAATAATGTGAGAGTGTTATAAATGAATACCTCTCTTCCATTATAAATCTGTAGTAACAAATAATCGCTATCTTGAGTGAAGCTGGCAGCAACTTATTAGCTCGCATGAGACCGTTAATCTCTTGATGATACTTTTGGTCGTAATAATAATAATTTAGAAAGACATCATCGAAACAAGGTTGTATATCTCGTAATTATTGCTTTTATTTCATATATAAAATAGACAATACAAATTTTACACATAAAGGGTGGTAGTATTATTTCATCATAATTATTAGAGCTGTGACAATCTCAAGGTCTTATTTATGAATACAGAAGAGATTGTTGGGTTTGTAGAATACTATAGTATAGTATATACGCCGGAGACTTGAGCATGATCACCAATCGCTCAAGGGTCACTGATGCTTCCACCTGCACTGCTGCCGGCATAACCGTCACTGTATCCACTGCCGGTGGCTCCACCAGGACCAGCTGCAGCATAAGCACCGGTTTGACCGTAAGCGCCACTGCTCGAATAAGCGTTTGCGTTGGGACCATCCGCAGTGACATATCCGCTTGTATATCCATAGGTACTTCCATATCCATCGGCGCTCGGACCTTTAGGACCAGCAGCAGCATTAGCACCGGAATACTCCGAATGGTAGGCACTTGTTGAGGCAGTAACGGCAAGCTCAGCTCCAAGACCGTTGGTAGTGGCAGTTTTGGGATCAGAGATGTCTATTTTGTTCTCTTTGGACACTTCTTCAAGCTGCCTCGCGCCAACTTTGGCACACACAACTCCAACAAATATCATAAGCACAACAAACTTTGTGGCATTCATCTTCGATATCTCTCTCTTTTTTTTTCCTTACTTTCTTTTAATAAAGATGTTTGTTGGTGAGTTTGTGTTGTCTTCCTCCCACATTTTAGCCACTATATATACACGCACATGTATCACACATTTCTTACAAGATACATACGTACTTTTAATGCACTAGTTAATGCTTAGGGTTTACACAACTAATAGTCTTACGTACCAAGATGTCAAATTAATGGTACCTTCTAATAACACCTCTAGATTGTAAAACTTTTAAACATTTTCAGAATTTGAAACTATAGGTTTCTAGTCTGTCCGGCGACTATCAGATATTTAATTAGTTACGTATTTTCCAATTTAAGAGTTTGTTGGTCCAATGTAAGAGTATTCCGGTGTCGTGAGGAAGTATAACTTTCTTTTAAAATTCTTTTTCCTGACACCAGAGGATCAAGCAATCCATGAAAGCGAAGCTTCTTGGCCTTGACTATCCCACCTTGAGATTTGGTTCAGACTCTACGATC